GTCCCCACGGCGGTGCCCAGCGCCTGTCACCTGCAGCCCGGGCCCTGGCCAGCGCGCCCCCACCCCCGCGTCCCCCCGGGAGCCCGCCCGCCCGCCACGCAGCGGGCGCACTGTTCGGGTGGCTTTTGTGGCGTGCGGGTGGTGGGTTCGCGTTCGCCCCGGCCCTCGCGCCCTCCTCCCCGTCACTTTCGTCGCCCCCGCCCCTCCTCCCGGACGGCGCTCCCTCGCACACCTGCCCGCCCGCCCTCCCTCCCTCTCTCGAGCGCGCGCGCTCCCTCCCGCCCGGCGGCCGCGGCCCGCGAGGCTCCCTCCCTCCCCTCCGCGCCCGCCCCGCGCGCCTGGCGGCGGCCGGCGCTCCCCTCGCGCGGCGCCCTGTTATTCCGGGTATTGTGTGTAATAAATGTCGGGCCGCCTCACTCTAATCAAGCTCATTACAAATTCCTGCGCGCCCGGGGCCGGAAATGGTGCGCTCGCCTCCCCCCCACCCCCTCCGCTCACTCATTCACTAGTTACTTGTCTTCAGGCTTTTTCGCTCGCCGCCCCCGCCCCCTCCCCCAGTCCCGGCCCTCCAGCCCGGGTTTTAATCCCCATCCCTTTTCCGCCTTCCCCGTGCACCCTGCCCCCGCCGCCTTCCTCCTCCCCCCCATCGCCGCCGCCGCCGCCGCTCGTCGCTCGCTCCCGCTCCCCGGACGCGGCGGAGGAGCCGGCCCCGCTGGGGAAGGCTGCGGGCGGCGGCGGTGGCGGCGGGCGGCCGGGAGGAGGCTGCGTGCTCGGTCTGGGGCTGCGAGCGGGTGCCGTGTATTAAAATGAGGAGGAGGAAGAGGAGGCAGCCACAGCGGCGGCGGTGGCGGCGGCGGCAGCAGCAGCAGCAGCGGCGGCAGCAGCAGCAGCGGCGGCGTGGAGGGCTGCAGCCCGGGCGGACGCGCGGGGCCGAGCTGGGCACGGCGGCGGCGGCGGCGGCGGCCGGGATGAGTCACTCACTGATCGTTTAATGGGGGCAGAGACGGCAGCGAGGGGGAGAGCGAGCGAGCGAGCGAGCGCGAGCGAGGAGCGGCCCCGTCCGGGGGCTCGGCTCACACGCACACAAACACGCGCGCACGCCTCCCCTGGGCCGCCCGGCGAGCCGCGGCCTCGCCACCTCCGCGGCGCGGCGGCTGCCCTCGGGCCCGGGCCGAGCGCGGCGCCGGGCGACCCCGGAGCAGCTCGGGAAACTCCTCCTCAGTTTGGCGGCGGCTCCCGGGCTGCGCGCCCCCCAAGTCCTAGTCCATTGTGGTGCTCGTTGTTTACCTCAGACTCTGGCTGAGTGAGAGCTCGGCGACTTTCGGGGAGGGGGCGGGGAGTTGGCGGCTGCCCAGACGGTGAGGTGTTTGGGGGTGCCTTCGGCGCCCCCTCCCCGCCCTCTTTCCTCCCCCCACCCCCACCCCCCACCCCAGGCGCTGCAGCCCCGCGTCCATGGGCAGGGACGGGGTCCGCGGGGCCGCGGTCGGCGAGGGCGGAATCCAAAGTGGCGCTTCCGTGCCTCCCCGGGGCTGTGCTCGCGACCCTCTGCCCGCCCCCCTCGCCGTCCCCTGGTAGATGCCCCGGGCGGGGGTGCGAGGCTGTGGGGAAAAGTTTGGGGTTTGTTCCTCGCTAGTCGCAGTTGTTGGGGGCGGGGGCGGCGGGGAGGGGGCGCGGGGCCTCCGTCCGCGTCCTCCGGGCTGGGGACGACCACTCTGCGAGTGACAGCCCCGAGTGCACTCGGGCTCCCCGCCGGCCGCCCGGGCGCGCGGGAGGGAGGCGCGGACGCCGGGGGGACCCTCTCCCTGCCCGGGGACCTGGTCCGCAGTCATTTTCCCTCTCGCCCCCCGCCTTCGGGAGCGAATTCTCAGGCACCACCTCGCCTCCCCAGCACCGCCGCTGTGTTCGGCTCCAAACGGATTTTGCTTTGTTTTTACGATTTCCCCCCAACGAATCACTTGTCAGATCAATTTTATCTTCTTCCCTCCTCCCTCCTCCCCACTCTCCCCTCCTCCCCATCGGAAACCCCGTTCTCTGAGGTTAGACATTTTACAAACCATATATGTTGTTTTTCGAATTGTGATTTTTTTTTTAACCCCCCCCCCCCCCCATGGCTACTCTTCTAGACGTTTTTTTCTGCCCTTCCCCCCCTTAGGGGGGCGGGGGTAGGGGAAGAGAAAATAATACAATTTCAGGGGAAGTCGCCTTCAGGTCTGCTGCTGGCTGGGTTGTTTTTTTTTTTTTTTTTTTTTTTTTGTAATAAAAAAAAAAAGGACGTAGAAAACATCAGTCTTGAACTTCTCTTCAAGAAATCGGCTGCAAAGGAAATCTCCTTTGTTTTTGTTATTTATATGCTGTCAAGTTTTGAAGTGGTGAGTTTCAGGTCGGTTTTGCTAATTTCACTCAGTAAAACTGCAGTGTTTCTGTTTCTAGATAGTACTTTGCTTCTTTGTCTCTTTAAAAGGTCACAGGGAAAGCTTGGCCTGGATCGTGCCGGCCCTATGGAACGGATAAGGGTACCAGCTCTTAAAATAGGATAATGGGGGTCCGGGGGGGCCAGGGAGGTGATCCAGCCAGGAACTCCTTGCAAAGGATCCCACCTTGCAGGAAAATAGATTCTTGAAACCGGAATTTCGTGCGCTTCTTTCTTTCTTTTTCAGGGAAATAATTGCTATAACTGGGTTCACTGTTTGATTCAGAAATCAGCAGATTTGGTCGTAGTTCATGGGCAGGGAAATGGGATTTTGAGAAAGTAGTTGGCTTTCTGTGTGCCAACCAGACGTTCCACTAAAATGGGTCTTAAAATGTGTAACTCAAAGGAAACTCTGCAGCCTGGCATCTGTGAGCCCGGAGTTGGTCCCGCTGCTGTCAGTCCAGGCAGGCCTGGTTGGAGGTTGCTCTTTTCCATTCCAAACTGTGGTTTGGTGAACTTTAGCCTTGGGCATAGAATTTAAAGGAGTAAATTGGGTGTTTTATGTGCATATAATTTTGCTTTATAACGTAAAGCTTTTTACAGGATGACTTAGTGTTTAATAGAGGCTTAAACGTGGGTATTCAAAAGATAATTTTGCATGACCTATACGATGTTTTCATTGTCAATACATTAACTAAATTATAATCTATCACTTTCATTTGCTGTACAGTTTAAAGTGCTGTTAAGCCGCATGACTACTTAATATGTTTTGTAGCATTAACTTTGATACTGTTGTCTACTTTCTTCCCGTTTTTTCCCCTCTTAAGTTGCCCCAGGGTTTAAAGATTTTCTTTTTAAATCGTGTTTTAAAATTTGCCTTCTGCTGTGGGGTAAGGCAGCCCATTTCAGAAAAAGCAGGTCAGCATTATAATCCACGTGAAACATTATAATACTGAGTAAGTCAGTATCGTTAATTCTGGTTTTAGGCTGCAGTTTAATATAATGGAAAAGAGTAATCTTGACAAAAAGTGGTTAAAAAAGGCACATTTATTGTTAATGAACCTCATAACCAAAAACAGATGGGACCTCGATCAACGGTAAACCTTTAGTTCTCAGCGTGCCACCCTGGAGTACAAAGATAAATAGCCATTATTATTTCTCAAACTTTATAGTTCTTCAATTGACATTCTTAGAGTTGCTTTGAAACCTCTAGATTAACATTGCACCCTTCTGCAGTAAAACGTGGAATGAAGCAAAGTAGTCTGTGATTAAATGGAAGAATCAAATGTTTACAGAAAAGCCATGCTTTTCAACAGTCAGTATAGATTGGCTTTCAAATCCAGGTCTGAGTAGTTCCATATAATAATTTTTTAAAAATCAAAGATTTGTCAGATTATTAAACAGCTGATGGAAAGTTCTTGTTATCCTGTTCTTTCTGATTGTTCTAAGTGTGATCCCCTTCCTTTTTGGTAAACACAATCCTTCAAGTACCATAAAAGTTTATAAAATAATTCTACTCACCTGTTCTTATCAATTCTAGTTAAAATTGTATTTTAGAAGTGACTTTGATAATACACTAATTACTTTATTGTAAACAGTATGAAATTGATGTCTAATATATAGCTGAGGATAATTATCTGTTAATTTTTTTCTGAAGTTAATTATGATGTTAATTCCATTGCATACTGAGATTACTTTTGAATACTGGAGGTTGTGTTTTACCAGTATCATCAAGATTTTTTTTTTTTTAAAGTGAACTTAACTCATGAATATAGTGTGTAAATCACAGAGTTTCTTTTTTTTTTTTTTTTGCTACTTAAACAACTACTACTCTATTACTAGTGGACACATAAATGCTAACTCTAAAACATGAATTGTAATGCTTGAGTGTCTGGAATGTTCGAAGAACTCTTCTGCGTCTTCCTGTTTGCTTAGGGGTGAAATGATCCGATCACATGTTTGACCCAAGGCTTGACTAGATATTTAACAGGTCATGTAACTCTTGAAACTTTGATAGTAGAAAACTTTTCCTTCCCATTAATTTCTAAAGCCAGTATAGAGTTTAAACAGCAGATGTTTCCTATCTTCTTTGGAGGTGGTACTTGTTTTTTCTCATAAAACAAAAATATATGTAAAAATATAAAAATGTTAGATTTAACTGATATTTTAGTCTGTCATTATCTTTTCACCCTTATTAAAGTGTTGCTATTGTATTGTAATGAGTTTGTAATTTTTAAAAGTTAGGAATATGTAAATAGAAATTGCTGTTTTCTTTTTAGCTATACTTGCAGTAATTCTTATTGTAAAAGCAAGCCCATTTCCCCCCATTTAGTTTTGTTTGTAGATGACAAATCACTTTTTTATTCATGTATGTTGGTACAGTTTCCGCAAATTATTCTGTTAATTTGAATGGAAATGTAGTGCTGTTATCTAGAAATATAGTAACATCTGTATTATATTATATCTAGGTAAGCAGTTTTACAAATGTGTTTGTGGAGAGAGAAATTTAGCAGTAAAACATGAGCAGGGGACACACAGAGGTATAGACCCCTACCCAATTATAACATATCTTCTTTTTAAATTCTGGCAGGTGATCTTTAGACAGTGACTGAGTATGGATCATTTGAACGAGGCAACTCAGGGGAAAGAACATTCAGAAATGTCTAACAATGTGAGTGATCCGAAGGGTCCACCGGCCAAGATTGCCCGCCTGGAGCAGAACGGGAGCCCGCTAGGAAGAGGAAGGCTTGGGAGTACAGGTGCAAAAATGCAGGGAGTGCCTTTAAAACACTCGGGCCATCTGATGAAAACCAACCTTAGGAAAGGTAAATACTTTCGAGCCAAATCCTGGAAAGCTACAAGCCCTGGTGTGTACCCAAGGCCACCTTGTGTGGGGGTGGAGTGGCAGAACATGATTTGTATATTCCTTTCTTTGATTCTCTTTCTGATATGAAATTGGCTACATTCTGATTCGTAATGTCACTCAGGTTTGAAAGTGTAGACTCTGTTGCTTGGATGGATCATCTTACTCCACTATAGAATCATTGAACTTTTAAGATGATAAAGACTGACTTGGATTGTCTTGGTCTTCGTTTACACTGGGGTCCTTTCATAAGGTGATGGTAGTAGAGGATATATAGGTGGCTGTTGCTTAACCTGACTCTGATTAAGAATAAGACATTTAGCCTGTTTGAGAACCACCCTAGCTTTTTCATAAGATTACCAGTTTGTAAGGCAGTTTCAGAGATCATCGAAATCTTACATAAGATAATGTAAAAGTTTTATGATGCCTTTTTCTGTGGTTTATTAAGAACAAATCCATTGTTTAGTAGTGAAAAACCCTGATGATTTTAGTTTTTAATTTTTTGCTATATTTGTATATTTTTGATAAATGAAAGACAGATTGAGGCAGGTTTATAAGGGGGAAGATATGTAACAGTGTTGACTCCTTCCTGCCAGTATTAAAGTGACGAAGTTTAACAACTTGGGATGTGTTTGACACTGTTGTTACTGTAATGTAGTGCTTGTATTGAGGGTAATATATGTGTAGCATGCGGGTCTTTATTTTATCTTTGAATAAGATGTACAGGAATCAGATTTTCCTTACATTTCCTAGGCAAAGGATAAAAATGCATCTTTTAGCAGCCAAGAATATTAAGTAGATAAAGTTAGAAGGCAGAGGAATTTCATTGTGTTTGATGCATAACATTTATCATACAATCATTTATTTTTTCCTTGGTTTGGCGAAAACAAAGAATATATTGATCCTGAAATGAACAGACACAGCAGTCCGTATTGTTAGATCTTTATCTATTAAAAATGGAAAAACAGCACTTCAGCAAATTCTTTGGCCTCTACTCATGATTACCCTATTTATTGATTGTTTGCCAAGAATGTATGCATCTTAAGAAAGCCAGGGTAAGAGCATTAAAAATATAATTTATTATGGCTTTTCAAACAGAGTGCATTAATATTGTACTGTGAAGCACTGGGGCTCTATAAAAAAGACTTTCTGACGCCTGCAAACATATAAGTTCCATAAATTCCTAAATAGGAGATTTCAGCTGTCTCTGGTATTATGTGATATTTGCACAGCAAACTTTAATGCCAGGACAGTTTTAGACAAGGATTCTACAGACTTCACTGCTCCTTATGGCAGACGTGCTGTTTACACAGGCTCATAAACCTTCAGCAAAAGCTTCTAAGACTGCCTTCAGGTTTAAATCATGTGGTATTTTTAGCATTCAGCAGTGACCAGTGCTCTCCCCTTTTAATGCTGGAAGGTTATGAAGTTGCTGTAGTTGGAAGTCTTGCAAGCACTAGCACGAATAATCAGTTCAGAGAAGGCTCTTGTTCTACATGACTCCCAGTAATAGGAGGACAACCAAGACAGTTTGTCACACGATTCAGCAGCTAGATTTGTATTTAGATGATACTGGGTTACTTCATTTATAGCCACCAGTATTATCTGTAGGATACCTCAGAATTTGATCAATAAAGTCTAAAATCCAGTATTTTCTAATAATTTGAAAAGCCTACTTAGAGTATTTCACGGGTCTGAGGAGTAGAGTCATAGCACGTGTGTTCCATCCTCTCAGAGGGAAAATGTATGTTTTTGTTGTTCTAACACAACTCTTTGAAGACACAGGGACAGGAGGGGGAGAAACCCAAAGTGTAGTACTTGCACTTCCGTTTTTCTTTTTTGTGATACCATTGCATTCATAATGACATTTTAAAAATGCAGTTTAATTGTAGAAGGATCTCTGCTCACTCCAGACAACAAAATCACTAAAGCCTTTTGGTGGATTTTTTTTTTCATCTTTTTTTTTTTTTTTTATGTGCATAGTTTCTGTTTGACAGGTGCTAGATAAAAATTGTGGCTGAGATGAGAAAGCACGGCTAAGAAAAAGGGGTTGAATGTTTTTATTTGCTTAGGAGATTTTGCCAAAATACCTTCAAGCCAAGGAAGAAATCACCAGTTTGCATATTGCTATTTTTGCTGTGGTCTCCCCAAGTCGTCTTCTGATCCCTGGCGGCTTCTCTCTCTGGTATAAAACAGCTGAATGAATGACAAGAATATTGGCAAGCTCTGCGGCTTGTTTTTCATGCCTAGCCTGTTGGTACTTCCGAATGAGTTTGTGAGCTTTTCTAAGTAAACCTGAAGGGGTTTGTTTGTCAGAGCTAGAATCTCTTGTGAACAGTTCACTAAAGCTTTGGTGAAGACACACATGTAGAAAAATGTAGCTGTTTTATTGCCGGCTTTTGTTCAGCAGAAACAAGCAAATAGAGAATTTTTAAAGGGCCTCTCTGGTGTCAGTAGGAAATCCTGAATTTTAGTTATGGTTGGTATGCACTAGACATCTTCAGAAGTTCATAGAATTCTCTAAGTCCAGAGAACAGAGTATATAGAGGCAATAATGTTGTAGGACTAATTGGGGATCCTGGGTGCCCTGTTAAAGTAACCCTTGTCATCATTTATGCTAAAGATGATACCCTCCTGGCAGTTTGCCATGGTAGAGTTCAGATGCATCTGCTTTTAACCCTTTTCTGTTGTTGCTGGAAGTCTGACGGAGCGCTGCGTAATACCTTGAGTATCACAGCATCTCCTGATTCTGATTTCTAGTAAGAAGCCTCTTTTTTAATAGTGGTTTAGCCTGCGCTTTTTAATAGTATGGCTGCTAGGTTCTTACACTGGGTTAAAATAAAGAGAGACTATATGAAATGCATGCAGATTCTTTCATCCCAATATATCCTGGTGAGGCGACCTTCCTGTTCTCTGACGTATTTTTGTCATATTTGTTGTACCAAAGATTGTTCATTTTTAAGACTCTTAGTTACTGTGATATCTTTTTAATCAGGTAGATTATATGAGCAGTCACAAAAATAAACATTATTTATCTACATTGTGCACATACTGAAATGGTATATTGTCAGGCATCAGTTTGGAACCAGTTAGAGTAAATATCTAAAAAAGGAGAAAATCATCATTTTACAGTCAAAGATAATTTGGACACAAGCAGGGAAAGTTTATTACTAACAAAAGCGTGAAGGCAGTTGGAAGGTGGGTTCTTCTGAAGATGATTATAGTGAGTTCTGTTTGCGTGTTGTATGCCACTCATAGCAAATCAGATAGGACACACTTACTTCTCATCAGCATTGTTATCTGATCAAAAAGGTAATCCTGCATTCATTGCTTTTGGAAGATGCACTGTTAAAATTAGAGCAAGAGCCTACATTCCCTTCGGACCAAGTTTACATTCCATGTGGCTATTTCTCTTACAACTTTAAAGAACAAAAATAATACGTATTTGTGTGTATATGTGTGTGCTTGTACGCTGCCTGTATTTCTGTACCCAGTCTGCCCTGGAAGCACAGGTTTCTGTTCTCTCACTGTTGTCAGGATTTATTTTCATTTAGTTTTTCCTCCCCCAAGTCTGTATTTCTGAAGATTGTTGGTTTCCTTTTTCCCCATCTCTTTGATAGGAACCATGCTGCCAGTTTTCTGTGTAGTAGAACATTATGAAAACGCCATTGAATATGATTGCAAGGAGGAGCATGCGGAATTTGTGCTGGTGAGAAAGGATATGCTTTTCAACCAGCTGATAGAAATGGCATTGCTGTCGCTAGGCTATTCGCATAGCTCTGCTGCCCAGGCCAAAGGTAAATAATGCATACGTGGGATTGGAAAAATTGCTTGGCTTCCTTTGTTTACCTCGTAGAGAAAGCACTGAATATTTTTGTTCAAAGAACTGTATTACATTGGTTCCTTATAGACTGTGGCTTTAAAAAATTGGCTTAATTCAGTTTGGTTTAGTTAACACACATTTTGCTCATGTGGAATGTCGAGGTAGATTTTTTTTTTAAATTACTTCAGCTGAATCATTAGTATGCTTATTGACCTTAATAATCTGCTCCACTGAGGACCCACAAGGAAGTGAGGAGCGTATTTGAGCAGATGGACTGTTGAGAGTCAATTTGCATTTATGACTGAATATCTAGTTCTGTTTCTTTTATTCTGTTTCTGATGGTTTTATGGGCTGTAAAGTATTTTTCAATGCTGATTCCCACTGCAATAGAGAATCTTATCTAAATCGTAAAGCCATTTAGAACTGGTTCGGCTATGTCTTATTAGAACTTCCTGTAAGTTAGGAAAATGTGGCCTTATGCATAGGTTTTATTGATGGGGTTTTATTTCCAAAATAATAAACAACCCTACAGTCATTTACATAATTTCACAATTTGGAAAGCTAAGCTGCGAATATTTTCATTGACCTGCCTTTTAGAGGGAAGGGAATCATTCAAACAGAAATAACAATATTGCTTGTGGTGGGGGCAGGGGGGAAAAAGACCTACTAGATATATTATCTGAGGGTGAAATATTTAGTGACATATTCCCTTTATCTGGAATAGGGCTCATCCAGGTTGGAAAGTGGAATCCAGTTCCACTCTCTTATGTGACAGATGCGCCTGATGCCACGGTAGCAGATATGCTGCAAGACGTGTATCATGTGGTCACACTGAAAATTCAGTTACACAGGTGAGTCACGACGGCAATTCTGGGGAGAAGCCTCTTACCTTGTGTTTTGAAACCTTCCATTTTTATTCAACCTGTGTTTCAGAAAGATTAATCCAGTGATTTTGTTACCTTATCCCTTTTGCTTTTTTCCTATGACTTCGGTGTATAATTTAAAAGCAGCCCCCCCTCCCCAGTTTGTGGCTTTATGCAGGTTATCAAAAGATGAGACTTTTACATTTAGTCGATTATATGATGCACTACAAGAAGGCATTTTACATAAAGTTTACTTAAGAAAAAAATATTTTTGCATATCATGAACAGTGCCATCTGTGTACATTTTGTGAAAGAATGCCTTCCTTGCTATTGCCGCAGTCTTATTTATTTATATATTTTTACCATTTTAATTCGTATGAACAGAGTAATGAAAGGAAATCAGTTAATAAGTTAATGCCTTTCACGATGGCTCGTGAGAAAGCAGTACACCTTAAATTGTCTTCCCAAGCGCATCAGAGCAGGAAGGTAGAAGTAACATGAAAAAATAGCCACCACAGGCAGCTGATGTATAATTCATGCATCGATACAGCAGATGTGTTGTATAAAGTAATTAACTAATCGGAACAATCAGGAGACCGAGAGCAATCTCCAGATGCATCTGTTTGATGCGCAAAATGAAATCTGTCTGTCTTAAAGGAATGTTGTGCAGCGGGATGCAATCTTGTAATAATCCCCTTTCTAATCTGTGTCTCCAACAGTTGCCCCAAACTGGAAGACTTGCCTCCCGAACAGTGGTCGCACACCACAGTAAGGAATGCTCTGAAGGACTTGCTGAAAGATATGAATCAGAGTTCGCTGGCCAAGGAGTGCCCCCTGTCACAGGTACTTAGCATAGCATGGGATACATAATAAGACTTCATGGGCAGCCCTGATCTGAGGTCTGATAGGCCTCCATAGTTTAAAGCAACTGGTATGGGAAGCAAGACTCTGCCAGAATGCAAAGTGGCTTGACCACTGCTGACCTTTTAAAATATGCCTGATTCATTCTGAATAGAGCCTTTACACTTTTTCTCCCTTAAGGAAAAGAACGAACGACTATTTACAGGAAAAACAGTCTAGCAGAAGACTATTCTGCTTGGTTTTTAGATTTGTGTTCGGAGTGTTCTAAGCATACTGGTTACATTCTCCTGAGTGCCCTTTTTAGGAAAGTGTTGAGCGGGTATGACTTACACAGAGCTTTGGTGAGTGGGAATGGCAGTGTAGAGTTCATGGGCAAAACTTCCACATGCTTTCTAAAGGAAACAAAGGTACAGTTCTTGGGTACTTTGTTTATACCAAAATATCAGAAAGGAAATATTTAGTAAAAATACCAAGAAAAACAGGGAAAAATCTTTTTTCCATAGCTAAAGGTTGAATAGTACTTGTTAGGATTTTGTAACCAGTTCTGTAGCATTAATTTACTTCTGATTTTTGTTTTGTAAGTGGCATTTTTTTTTCTTTTTTTGCATCCGAGATGCATGCATTACCATTGAGATGATAAGTAGATTCATTATTATTGTATTTCAGTTTTTAGAATGAATATTGATAGAGGACAACCAAAACTCTAGGTAGAGGTTTCCCTTCTTTGTAGATTTAAAACCAAGCATTTTTGATAATGCTCAGTTGATTTCAAATAAAAAAATAGGAAAAGGATGCTATAGACCTGCTCCTACTGGGCTGCGCCAGTGGTCACCACATAAATGTGTTATAATGCCCTCTCCTAGTGCCAAACCAGTTTTAAGGTTATTCCATGGCAAAGTCTAATTAAAGTGTTGGTCTAACTAGGTTTTTACTAAACTTTTCAAGGTTTCTTTTATTGCAAGTTTAAAATGTAATTCTGATTGTTAGTCTGTCAGCCATTTGAATGTGAACTGTGTAACTCTGCTGTAAACATATCTGCAATTGAGAGATTCTCAAAATGTGTTTCTACTGTATTTCGAATAGTCCATTTCTTACAGTTCAGAGCAAACTTTTTTGTGAATTCAGTTACACCTTCAGCTAATCCTTTTTCTTGTTTTTCTCACCCTTGGAATAGAGAGGTTGTAAATGTATAACCTTTGAGTAAAAGTAATTTAAATTAATTGAATACAGTCAAATCAATAGAATGACATAATAAAGCAAGGTGACCATTATTGCTGGGATTTTGTGTTTGCAGACAACTCCAGATAACATGTTATTTTATCAGTAGCATTTGAAAATTTGAAATAATCTAGAAATAAACATTAAACTCAGAGCTAAAACATAATTAAACACACATTGTCAGAATTTTGCATATTTTCATGTTACTCGGTGTTCCACTGACTTTTGGAAGTAGATTTAGACGAAGACTTAAGATATTTACCATGAGCTGGAGAAGGGGATGCTAGTGTAAATGCGAATACAGACAGTGAAAACTAATTGCTAATTGATATCAACATGCAGCCAGTAAGCTCCACCTCACTATAACTTACATATATAATTGTGAATTTACTTAATGTTGTCATAAGAAATGAATTGAACATAGGCTATTATAACATTAAACAGAATGACAAAGTGAAATGCGGGACTTGGCTTTGTAGTCGTGCATTGATGAATTTCCACAGCAAGGTCTTCAGACAAACATGTGGCCTGGTGTAGCTCGAGATTCCTCTGTAATTGTTAGGTGATGGGAGTAGGCTATAATTCCACCAACGGTTATAATTATAATCTATATTTCTTTTTAAAAAACTTTCAAAAAATTTATGGGTGGTCTAGAAGTGAGTGGTAGCAAATATTTGAAATTAATATTTAATATTATGAAAAAATTTAACTTGTTCTCTGAATGAAGCCATTATTTTATGTTTGACTGTATCGTCACCCATTTCTCAAGAATGAGTCCATAAATCTGATACTGAACTAAGAATGTTTTTATTGTAAACTACTTTTCACTTGTTTATTTTTTTTTCTCTCTCTAAAATGATTTAACCTAAGGTGCAGTCTCCGTAAGTTAGGCCTTCATCCAAAATGTGTTCTGTATTAAGGCTTTACTTCTCCTGTGGAGTTTTGTTTCATTCATGTAAGAGCTTTTGCCTACAATTCAGTGTATACATTTTATTGTACATTAAGTGTTTAGTTTAGCATAATAAATTATTTCAGTGTCAAGTATGGCCACAGTTCTCCTAAATACTATGGTTAGTAGAAAGTCCACCCTGTAGGCAAGCAGACCACTGTGTAGGGTAGAGGGTTAGGAGGAAATGGGAAGCCACCAGGAATTTGCCGTGGATGTTGATGCCTGCCTCAAGCCCCTTTAGGAGGATTGTCTAACGCCTGCTAATCAAATGTGCCATTGGACCTGGATTCTTAGAATTAGAAGGGATTATCCTTCCCAGCCACCTCCTTTGACAAAGGAAGGAGTCAGTGTCCCTAAAGATTAAATTCAAGGTTAATGACTGACCCAAAAGTTCTGATTTGCTAAGCCTATGTCCTTGCCCAATGATAATTTTTAAGTATTGATTTAAAAATGAATGCTAACATTTTGGTGCAATGTTTTATTTGATATGTGCAAGGTTTTCTTCAGCTGCAGAAATTTTGTAGGTGAGCATGTGATTGGATTTGCAGTCATACCTTTATTTCTGATACTGCTTTCCTATCATAAATTTGCCCAAGTATTTTGCTTATTTTTGCAAAATGTTTTAAAAGTCTTAGGTCATTATAGATTGGAGGTTGGGTGTTATGTTGTTGGCTTTTGCTTTTTTCAGTGGATGTGGTTAGGTAATCGTGTGTTGCATTCTGAACTTCAACTAAACAGGAAAGAGTGAAACCTGTCAGGTGCAAGAAAACCTATAGCTTTGAGACTTCAGAGGTTGCTGATTTGGAGGGTAAATTGAAAGTTAAAAAAAGTAAATATTTTGGTGTATAATAAAATTGAATTTTGATGCTAGTTTTTCCTTTAGTTTCAGAAAATTATTTTTCCCTCTTTATTTGAGAGGCAACGATACTGATAGAGGAGTCTTCCCCTGCACTCCCCAAATGCCTGCAAATCCAGGACTAGGCTGGGGTTGGAGCCAGGAGTAGGAATGCAATGCAGGTCTCCTCTGTGGGTGGCAGGGATGCAATCTACTTGAGCCATCACCACTGCCTCCCAGGGTCTGCAATAGCAAGAAAATGGAATTGGTAGTGGAGCCAGGTATCAAACCCAGGTACTCAGTTGTGAGATGCAGACATCACAACTAGCGTCTTATCCGCTACTAGGTTAAGTGCCTGCCCTACAAATTGAATTTAAACACTGGATAAATTCTGATACATGGATAGATTGATCTTTTAAAAGTACCATAAGGAAAAGGTCAAGCATTACTTACCCCGACCTCATGTCTTCCTACTAAAAATGTTTAAGTCAGATATTCTTGGGAGATGGTAGTCTGCTATGTGCATTTTTACCCCTTCTCCCTTCACCATATGCACGTATGTATGCTGCAAGAACACATCACACCTGTCGCATTTTTAAGACATTGGGTTATTTTCTATTTCATCTCTCACCTGGGGAGAAGGTATCTCCAAGCCAAGTCCTACATAAAGTGAGTGGGAATTGTCATTTATATTTCAAAGTAGCAAAAAATATATATGATAAACTTAAATTTGAACACTCTACTTAAAAGTAATACCGAAGAAGATAATTTCTCAATTTTAATTTTCCTGAAACATCTGGAAAAAGATTTTAAAAAACCCAACTATCCTGCCCTATTGAAGCTTAGTCTTTAACCAGGCTGAGTCTCTGACACTTGACAGTCATTTCCATAGGCATTTATTAAAGTTAAGTTTTCTGTTGATTTTCAGTATGTTTTATCAGTAACACTGGAGCAATAGTTTAAAAATCTATGTTATAGAAATTTTTTAAAGCAAACTTTTTTCCAAAATGAACTGAAATAACATGTTTTAATATTTCTAATACATCATTATTCATATATTGTATTTTACATGAAAGCTTAGCCTGTGAAATTTGTTCATGTATTCATACATTCACTCACTACATTGACGGGCTGTCATGTGCCATGTAGCCTATTTTCTATGTAGCAATAAGGACAACACCTCTTAATAGCTGAAAAAAAATGGTGCTAGCTTTCATTTAGTGCTTTTGATATGTGAAGAGTGCCTCTCTCACCCTATTCGTCCATTTTCAAATTAGAAATCTGAGGCATAGAATATTTAGATGAATGTCCATGGGTATGTAGCTATTAAAGTGGAGAATAAGACTTCATACCCCCATGATGGGAGCTTAACCAGGCATCGTTCTTGGTCGCATAAACAGATAAAAGAAGCTTACAAAGAAAAAAAGAATAAGCCTTTCTCATATTAATTTGATGTATTTCATTATCACAATACACTTTATTTCTCTTATGTACTTGTAGTTTTCCAATTATCTTTGTGTTTTCAATACATTTAACATGTGTTTTACTTTTGTGTCTTTGAATTTTTTTTTTTTTTTTTTTTTTTGTATATTGACTTGGTTGTAAAGTGCCATCATTTCATGCCCCTAATTTAGGATATAAGGGAGTGATTTAGACCATGGAGCTGACGTGTGGGATAATCTTGCATTTGGGAGCTTCCAGAAGGTTTAGATAGGTAACCCTGTATAGTCATTTCTTTTCTACACCCTCAAGATTGGTAGATAGAATTGAGCGAATAGTCCTTTCATTTAGACCTTAAGGCAATGTTAGGCATTTTTATTGGAAAAGTGGGCAGTTAAATTTCTTGGGTCTATTTGAAAGTACAGACCGTAGTCATCAGACTGACCTCATCTGATGGACAAGAATATAACTGGTAGCTACCTTTAAAAATAGAAATTTCATATTTGAAATGTGCTTGGAGGATTTTGTACTTGCCCTTTC